ACGAGTATTTATTTTAGTAATTTTTAAATATACATAAATTATCTACAAGGTAGGACTTAGGACTTTAGAGAGACACAGTTAATATATATATATATATATATATATATATATATATATATATATGTAAATATAGTAACTTAAAAAGAACTTCATCACTTAACTACCATTATATATTTGAGAACTACAATTCAAAGGGACGATTTAATCGAAGTTGTTCCATAAATCCTATCGACTCTTAAGCCGAATTTATCTCCTAAGATTTTCTCAAGAGAAATAAATTATTTTCGCCCATTGCCTCCGTCGCATCTGCATTCCCTATCACACTGATATGACCCCTACACCTTTAAAAATAAAGTTTATAACGACGCGAAGACATTATCACGACATTTGACACAACTATTGTGTCTAACAAAGGGCCGCCAGGTAGAAGTTCTTTGTGGCTTGCGCAAGTAAAGCTGTTTCACACAATACGAAATAAATCGGCCTATAATTTTGCAGGCAGCTGCTCTGTGGGCAGTTGCAATTTTTATGAACCATAGAATTCAAAGGTCGATGCACCAAAACAATAATATTTTCTGGTTATAATGTTTATACGAAAGGGCATAGCCAATTGCTTTATATAGATATCGTTTTTTTCTAACAGCTGAAGAATATTGTCCGTGGTTTTTGAATATTTAGTGCCCCAAATGGCTGAATTTTACAGAATATATATTTGGCACAGGCAGGATTTAATCGCACGACTAACAGCGTAATAATTGAGCTAGCTAAAATCATTCTAAGATTAAATCTTAGTGTTTATTTAAAAAAAGTTTATATAAAATCCGTTTATTAAACTTTTCGACCTTTGCACAAAGATATTTAGAACCAATTTTATATTTTACATATGCGAAAATTACTATGTAACTTGTATATTGTTTGACGTGATATTTCGTATTCCGAGATAATCAAACATAAATTTCAAAGATGGCGGCCGTGCAAATTAGATTACGACAAATTACAAATCTTTTCAGTGTATTAAAATTAATTCCTTAGCGATGGTAATTAAGTATTTATTGAAGTGGACCCCTCGTTACGTCGGCTTATCAAGAAAATAATTCTTTACAAAAAATCCGAAAACGCTGTTATTTATTGTTCAGAAGTAAAATTCTAATTGGTGTCTGCTATAATAAATGAAAATTATTGCTTAAAAGAAGCTGTAATTTGAGTGGGTGGGGATACCAACCCCACTGACTCATCCGGTGATTACCTATTAGTCTAAGATAGGTAGAAAGCATGATTCACACTTTTGAATAAAACTCTATCGTTCGTAAACTATTTCTATCTGGGAAAGTAACTACGTACATATATTATAAGCTAACTAATTAACCAAATATCGCTTTCACTCTGTCGATCGATAATCGTCAAAGGTGTCAGTTTTGATATACTTCGCAGCTTATGTAGCGTTAGGTTGTAACGTAACAAAGCTCGCAATGAAACGATATATCTTTTATTATATTTGTAGGGACTTTTAAGTATTTGTTTAATAAGTGTGTTCAAATAAATTGTATTTTCTAGAGAATTCTAAATTTTATTTTAAGACTAATCTTGAAATAAGTTATTTAATTTTCCTTTTTAAGTATAACCTTGTTTATAAAAAGGTTTTTTGTTGTATATATACCCGTCTCTTTATCTTATTTACTATAGAAAAGAGACAAAATTTAATTTTAGTTAAAGCTACAAATCTGTCGACTGTTCACCCATAATAGCAAATAAAACTATATCTCAACTACTATCTATTTTACCTTTTTGATGATCAGCAAACGGCATGTTGTTTCTGAAACGACTAACTTACCTGAAACAATTTAATGGGGGATAAAACATCTTATTTATTTAGTTAAACACTGGCATCGAAGTTTTCGGTATAACCCATTTGAGTGGAGTTCAAATAAAATAATAAAAACACTGATTAAAACATGATTAGTTAGCTATGAAATTATTAATTACAAACTGACGTTCCGGCAACTAAATTTCAATACAGTTCAATTTAAAATGTTTCATTTAAATATTATTGTTTCGTCTAGTGTATTATTATATAAAACAAGTAAGAAGTAAGAATAGTTACTTATGTAACATTGTTATCGACGTCCTCCAAAATAACTTGACCGAAATTAATGAAATTATACCCAGACACTAAGTTCAACTGCTTGCATTTGTGATAATATACGCGAACTTTATCTGTACCTAGATGTGCCCTGATAGCGATATGATTTCAAGATATTATCAAACAAAATACAATAGTGAATCCTTAGCAGCTGATCGGCCATATGTAGCGGCAGATACAGCGCATGCGCGCCCGTTTTTACTATCTATTTTTTTTACTGATAAACTTGTAAGACTTTATATAATCTATAATAACTCGTGCCTTTGTGACCCTGCAGGGATTATTATGATTTCCTTTATTTTTAACGACATGATACATCTATTATTAATAATAATTTTCATTGCATTTTTGTGTATTATTGTGGGTGTGTGTTTATTTGATTTTGAAAATATTTTAGAAATAATTTTCACATGCACATGATTGCGTTTTATAAATTAAAAATCGATTTCAGATTGAAAAAAAAAGAAATATCTCATCTAATCAATTTATTTTTGTATTAGTTTTTTAGTTAAGGCTATGTTATTGTTATTGTGAATGTAAGAGTAATTTGTTATTTTGTAATAGGTACTGTAATTATATTTCATTTACAACAAGGAACCAACTTCAAATCCAAAAGTACTTGGAACTAACCTATCATGTATGTTCATTTGAGAATTCTGTTTCTAGAATATTTTCATGCTGTATAAACATCTTATAGACGTGTTTGTTTGAACTTTAAATATCACATATAACTAGTCTTCATAGACTAGTTATATGGACTCATGCATTTGAAATACCATTTACATTCTTGCTAACTTCAAAACATTATGAGGAATTTTAAAAACAATGGTTTATCATTCCCGATAAATTAGTTAGTCGAGTAGAAAGGATCCAGGATAGACTCCTGAGTTGGGTGAAATGTTACTTAGGTATTAAGAAATTCCTAGTTAGTTTGGGCGTAGGCAGTGTCGTCATCCCGATCAATTTAAATTGTCGAATGGCGTAAATAAACGCTCGACGGGAATAGCGTGGTGGGTCTAATATCTGTTGTATGCGAGAGGGCACATGAACCCAGCAGTGGGACATTAATAACAAACAAATTTAAAGGGTAGCATATTTTTTTATTATTATTAATCTTATACGTTAGAAATTCTTCGACGTTTGTTCCTTTGTGACTCGCGATAAACCAATAAAGCGAAATTCAAAACTGTTCCAAAATTCTATCGACCCATAGAACGTTCTACCTGGAACCACCATAAAAAACAGGTCATCGAACCCAATGCAACAGCTGCTCATATTCAAAATGGCCGACGTTTATGTCAAAAAATTAATAAATGCAGGCCAGTTTTCAAATGATGGATTGTACACACCGATTTGTTGCCAGTTTTCATTCAATATGCACCGAATTCATTATTTGATGGGCTTTTTACATATAAATTAGCAGGTTTTTAGGTTATTGTAACACCTTTAGATTGAAAACGAACGGATATGCTTAAAATAAGTAAATAATTTGTCGATATAATTATAATAAAATAAATTTATGCTTCAGAAATATTATGACATTTGATTATTTTGACGAAAGCGTTTCAAAAGTTCCACATTAAACATAATTTCGTTACGTCACTATTAAATAGAAACGACATATGCGTGTCAAATTAGCCCATTACAATTTTAATTGCAACTGTTTTTTCCGATGTGAAAGTCAGCTAAATATTATCTGTCATTTAAACATCATTGTTATTTATCGTCTGTGGTAACGGTTGACTGGCTCCTGGCTTAGCGCTTATGTGTTGTATTGCTTTTTGAAAAACAAATGACAGTAATTAATTTAGAAGAAATAAAACCACTGGTTATATAACCTGGTTTTAGTACATAAATGGACTTTTTATATAAAGATTTGTACTAGTAAACCTTTTCTCGTAGTCTAGCTGTAAACGGTAGTAGGTTTTTATTAAAAAATTAAAGAAATTGCAATGCTTTTACAAAAAAAAAAAAAAAAATATTTTAGTACATATATATTTGTATTTTAAACGCTAAACTAATAATACAATAAAAAACTAAATTCTCGCAATTGTAAACTTGGTTAGAATTTAAGCGTTTGTTTCACAGCTATAACCTACACTATCTAACCATATCTCACTATTTAAATCTCGTATTTCAAACGGCCTGTCGTCAGTTCTCATGGAATAAAAAGTAAAAAGTGACATAAATCAAATAAAGGTGTCCCGTATAGCGTTACTGTTTGAACGGAAGTTAGGTACCGGAGCTAAATCATAAATTTACTGTTCCCGTCGGTCTCCTATTACGTTGTTGTATGGTTATCGTAATTATTGCTTTGAATTCATAATCTGTGCTATCTTATTTCAACAGATCAGATCTTTTTGTCGATAGTTCGTGCACCGAAGTGTCAATAGACAACTTTTGAAAGCTATGATTTGCTAGCTTTTTTTTCCTTATAACATATACATATTTTGTATCTGAAGCCGATTTTCAAAATTTAAATTAAATTTTCGATTTTTTCCTATTTTTTTTTAATTTTTATAAAAAGAAAAACAACTTGTAGGATGTGTTATAGTTGTCAAAATAGATCGATGAAAAACATGTTGTCAATGTTTAAAAAATTTGCTTTTGGATTGTTATTGATAAATATACTGTCTTAGTTATTTTATGTCAAAAAAATGTCATCTTAATGCTACGATAATATGATAATATGATATTCAAGAAAACTTGCATTAAAAAAATAATGATTTCAATAGAACGAACGCACTGTTACAAAGATCAAAGCGTATTGATCGGCGGTATCATTAAGTAATTAGCACTGTATCATACATCATTAAAGCATTTTATTTACTTGAATTGCACCCCCTACATCCCCCTTACCCTACATCGGTGCATAAAAACTGCAATTACCTATCAGTTGGATCACACAATAACCAACTTGATAGAACCTAGCCAGAGCGAAGGGAGCTCCCGACCCGCGATACCGCTTCCCAGCTCGGGTGATTAGCGGGGACATACGGGACAAAGCTGGGGTCATGCCAGAATGGTTACCGCTGAAAGGGTAAGGCTTGGAGCTAGGTCGTAGCCCTGCTTTGATTGTTCGATGAGTGCTGGCAATGAGTCACTCGTGGACGTAAATAAACGGGAAAATATTGTAAAGATACGAGAGAATGTTTAACGGTGTGATAGCGAATTTACTGTTAATATTGCGAGTGTTTTTCGAGGGTCTGACGCTTCCATTGATGGTGCGACGGTTTTTAATGGCTGTTGCCGGTGGTTGATTTAATTAAAATGATTTGTAGCAATACGGTAATTATAAGACTTGGCAGAGATTTATATTTGGTGATGTCTTTGCAAAAAAGACTTACATTTATTCGAAAATGTGTGAGCGAACACATTTTTAAGTTCGTTTCGCGGATCGGTTTATTTGCAAATGAGACTTCTGTACCCTGCCCGATCAAAACGATATATTCTATGCGAGATTCAAACTCCCCCCCCTCAACGCAATACGAGTCAAGTCGGTTTCACGAAAACGTAAAGGTGTTATTTAACGAAAAGGGCTTTATTTTTTTAAATTATATCAATAAAAAACTGTGGCCACATAGGACAAACTACATTGCATTTATAGATTGTTAGCTTGACGTCTAACCCGTTCCTTATTTTTAAAAGTAACGCCGAAGTCTTAGATGCAGTACAAACAAAGTACTACTAAAGATTTGAGGAAAAGCACAGAACTAAAACCGACAGTAGGTAAATGAATAACGATTCATCGGTATCAGAGGCACAGAACAAAGGTCTTCATCAAATCGGAACGCTACAACCTACATATGAGAAGGCATAGAGTCCTTAGTATTGTCATCCCCGAGGCGTGTCGGGGCTCCCTTGATTTCTTTACAGGGTTCTTCGTCAACGCACTGCGAGATAAATAACGCACTATGTACGCACTTTACATAAGCAACCCGCTAACTAGGCAGCACGTTCAGTAGGTTATGCGATTTCCCCCTCAGGTAACGTAGTCTGAACGTAGATCGCTTTTTATGCGCATTTTCTTGGGAAATTTTCTCGTTTGATGAACATGCTAGTGCCGGTTAATTAAGTGGAAAATAGCCGAGAATATTACTTTATTTTATACGTTTTTCTACGCCGTAATTATATAATTAGTACCTTTATCTGTGAAAATATCATTATTTTATTCTCACTGAGAAAATGAAATTTATAGCTTACACGAGTAGTACACATTTAAAGAAATCACTTTTAACAGTTTAAAACGCGAAATATTATCTATCTTATAATGTCCATTTTGTTGGAGCTTATTTCTATACTAGAGTTTGAACTCACTGTATATTATAAGGTCTTGTTCATAGTGGAATGTTCTGGACTGTTGAAGTAGGACCATAAAAATGTCTTCTAAATTTTTAAAGGTTTTGTCTATGAAATGTGTAAGCATATAAAACTTATTTATTATATTTAAGCCCAATTGAAGAAAGAAACATAAATAGATCCATTAACGAATCGGTTGAGTTAACTGGAATATTTGTCAACGCCAGATAGCGAAAGTAAAGCGAATGCAGGTCCATGCTATTTCCAGCTACAGGTCATCTAGACCGTATTTGTAGGTTACGCGTTCACCGCGCCCCAAAGGGCGGAGCGTAGCACATAGCCTATGTAAAGCCTCTTTGAGAATCACCCCCGTTCCTTGGCGGGAAATGAAAACAGATTATACAGAATCCGAAGAGTATATAAAACATCAACTATGTAGTGTCAACTGCCTTGCAGCGGACGCATTTTCTTCTTTGACAAAAATGCTTTGTGACACACAGATTAGCTTAAAACGTACAAATTTTACTATTATCTTTAGCAGAATGAATAATTATACTTTAGAAAGTATTATGTAGTTATTTTTATCTTCTTATATTTTAATTATTATTTAAAACTCGAAATCTTATTAAATTCATAATTTACAAGATAGATTTTAAAGCTGCTCATGGAGAGTATCAAATGCAATTTTATGACTGGATTTAATTATATTTCATAGTCTTAAAAAGTTAATTTACAAGAGCGCAGAGGCAGAAAATTATTAATATATTAAAAAAAAAGTACATATTCATTTTTGCCGAAGTTAATTACGCATTTTTAGTTTCCTCCTTAAAAATATTACGTTTTTATTAGGCCACTCTGGCACTAGCAGCCTCCAGAATTTAGTTCAATATATAATAGAAGTCGATATTAGTTGTATCTGTTGTTAACTATATAGATTATAGAGAAATTTATACTTTACCACAGATACTTATTCATGTACAGAATTAGAATGTGACGCGAGGGTTAAACGCATGCCTGGGACGCGTGCTGGGGCGGTCTCTAATGAACTATGAACGCCTAGTTAGAACTATACCGTGCCTAACACTCGGCTTTCGCGTGTCAAATGAGGTTAAGGTTTTAAGGTTGTATACTAAGAATAACTTTTTTATGCATGGGAATATTGAATCTTAAAATTGTGCTATATTAAACGTATGTGTATAAGTTGCGTAAGGTGATGTGTATTTCGATAGAACTTAAATATATAAGTATATTAATAGCGGCCTCATATACATTATTATAAGGGTCGATGCAATATTTATGTTAGGTGTATTAAAATGTCGTTTGCATAGTTTACAGGCTACAATTAAAACAGCAAAGTAATGCGTGTTTCGCTTAAAAGCAGCGCAAAAAAAATACTCTGAGCAATTAAAAAACAGATCCAAAGACAAGGAAGGCGACGCGAAGAAATCCCGTTTTTAATGCGCGCCCACCCTACCCTTTGCAGAGAAAAACATTTTTAAATATGTGTTAAAAGCACTTCACGCAGGCATTAGAATAGTTGCCCCGGGTGCGGAACTACGCTGACTGTTTACCGCGCCGCGTATTGCGTGGGCACGCGCGATTTTACCACCACATTTCTCCTGAACGCACCACTTACCACACTCATAATGAGGACCCTATGCTTATCCGAACATATAAATTTAATATAGAAATGCTGGCGACATCAAAGTGACGCTGGATACAATTTGAATTTAGACCGTGCGCGATCGTATAATCTGTGCTATGAAATAAAAACGTTAAGACTATAATTTGAAATTACAGCGGGATTTATTATTAAAAATATATGGTCTGTGGTTTAAATTAAAGATTATGTTAAGTCTATTCTAATATATAAAGCAGAAGAGTTTGTTTGTTTTTATGTTTGAGCGCGCTAATCTCAGGAACTACTGGTTCGAATTGAACAAGTATTTTTGTGTTGGTTAGATCATTTATTGAGGAAGGCTATAGGCTATAAAACATATCTGTGACTAATAGGAGTGAAGAAACAGCGGGAAATGTCGAAAACACGGGGATAATTCATCCTTGTGGGTTTCCTAAGCGTACGCTGCGAAATTGGTTCAAGATACCCAATAAATATGTTAGAAAGAATATAGTTTCTCTTTAAATGATCTAAAAAAAGTCCGCGATAGTGTATTTCTATCTTGTACGACTAGAATCGTACGACGTCGTGCGTAACAGTTTAAATTTATAGAATTGAACTGGAGGTTTGCAAAAAATAAAATTGACACCCAAAGTAACTATCCTACGCGTACGAAGTCGCTGACTAAGCTAGTATTTTATAAATGTCCAAATGCATCGTATGTTACCACAGATAATAAATTGTAGTCTGTTTTGTACGTGAAACGCGTTTTGAAAGAAACTAGAATAAATAGTGCAGTAATAAATAAAACTCACACTATTTCGTTGGATGCACGTTAAGGGTGCATCAACGCACCCCTCACGCATTCACGCACACAAACGCAGCTCCTTCTGTAACTGGAGCGCGATTGGTCTATATTATGTATGTATGTGTTTTGATGTACATCTACACGATTTCTAGGCAGTTGAATTAGTTGCGTGCGGGGTCTTTGCTAGGAAAAAGTATTGATTTGTTGTGTGAAGTTGAGCTTTGCAATGATTTCTAGTTAAGAGCTTTTGAAAGATGGTCTTGGTAGAATAGAAAATGGCAAATCAATCATTTCAATAGAAATTACATTTGCCTTCGACTTCGATATGGTTATTGAATATTAGTAATTAACGAAACATTGTTATATTTCGATTAGATGTTAATACAAGAAAGAGAACTTTTAAATGTATACTTTTAAAATGTATATAAAACACATTAACTGTTTAAAACGCGATATATTAGTTAAAGTTATTTGGAAATGATTTTAACTTCGGCCCGACGTTTCGGATGCTTTGCAGCAGCCGTGGTCACGGGGAGACTGGAGAGTTTAACTAATATATCGTGTTTTAAACCGTTAAAGTGTTTTATTTAAATGTGTACTACTTGCGTAGACTATAAACAGTATATACTTTTAAAACTAAAAAGTCACTAAAAGCTAATTGTACAGCTTTATCACTATTACGTACATATTTTTATAAGCTTTAGTATTATGAAAGTAGAGAAGGTAAAAATGCGGGTTCATGATCCGCTGAAAACCGGTTAAAACCGACCAACTGTCGATTTTTTGTCCTCGTTGAGCGCAGCTTTAATTCTTCTATTTAGAATTTTATTATCATGCGACAATAGCGCCTTTATGCATGCATGTTTATACAGCCGCCATCTTGTACAACGTGCTTTTATTACTTCAACGGTATCTATCTTTGAATCCATTTAAGCTAAGCTAAGCTTAAAATCATAATTTTTTTTTTCACAGATTTTTTTTGTGCTAGAGCACAAAAAAATTCTGTAAATGTAGCGTAGATTAAATACTGGCTGAAAGTAGTTTACGCGAGTAGTATACGTTTAAATAAAACACTTTAACGGTTTAAAACGAGATATATATTAGTCGCGCGGTAGGTAAAAAAATTTTCAAATAAGTTTATCTAATATATATCGCGTTTTAAACAGTAAAACCGTTTTATTTATATGCACCGTAGAATTTGACAAGAACGAGAAACGTTTTTACTCCGAATACAAAAGGGAATTTCAGTACAAAGACAAGAAATAAATAATACTTATAATCCTACCTACAAGTACATCTAGATTATATAGTCATTAAATTTAATAACTGATTTGAAATTTTTATGAACTGAGATTATTTATGTTGGGAATAAATTTATTTTATGCTTCTATCTTTAATTTTTATATGATGACTGTGTAAACGTAATTTTTAAGAAATCCCCAAAAAGGTCGTATACCAACTCATCGTACAATAAAGTTCATCTGCAGGTTATCGAACTGTCATTACAGGGAACGCCGCAAAAATGTAGCAAAAAAGAAAATTATGCAACGATTAGCCACATCGCAAGATGCATTATGTTGGGCCCGTTACATCAGCTGATGGTATAAAAAGGGCCGATCGACATCTGCCTCGGCTTGGCGCGTGCCTCAAAAAAAAAAAACTTCGACCGTTACCCGGGACGTGGGTGGACACGTGCATCCCCTCTGAGAACTTGATTTTTTGCTGATTTTCTCCGCAAATGACCTCAATTTTCGAGCATTGCGTTATTTATTATCAGACAATTCAGAATTTTCATGGCTGGAATTTCACGGTGCCGATTCTAATGTGTATAGCGTGTTTGAAATTAAAAACTTTTCATTGAACTGAATATGTAAAACTTTGACTTATGTAAACATTTTTGTAGTTGCAAATGAAGAAAACATAAATCATATTTTGCCTTTATTATTACTCGGTAATTAATTCAACGCTTCATACGTAAAAAACTAATTATTATTAATAAAAGAAGACTTAGATTATACAATGGATAAAATGCCATTTGCGTTGTTTATTTCGATCAATAAAGAAAATAACTCTCTGTTGATCTATAACAGTCTACAATTCAATATTACTTTTAATTATCCCTTTTCTCCCCCTTCAATTTAAAACTATTTAGATTACTTGGAGAAAAAAAGGTGTTAAAAACCGTCCTGAACAACACCCATTAATTTGGACAGAGTAGACAAATATATCAGGAGCCTTTATCTATCTACAGACGTTATTAACAAACACAAATCATCTTGTTATTGTCCTAACAACGTTACTCTCATAAATACTAAAGTAGTTATAATAGACAAAAGCAATTCCAAATACATAAAAATATAATCACAGATTGTAATAAATCCTCTTTAATTTGAACTCGTCGCGACATTATTCTGTGCTTTTAATTCTGAGAGAAGTTCGCCGAATTAAGGCGAAAATACGAGACAAAATGGCCGCTCTCAAGAGTACTTTAAGATTTGTTAATATCTATTGTGTACGTAAAAGTGTTTCGTTCGAGAATCATATTTTATTTGTTTAATTGTTTGCTTTTTATAAATATGTTAATGTACTAAATACATATGTATGAACACACATCTAAAATATATAAACAAAAAATTAATCATATCACAGAGTTGTTAGAGCACTTTTTAAAATTATATAGAATTTTTTTTATACATTAGAAATCGATTCTAATTACATTTATTTATTTATTACATCAACAGAGCATACACACACACACACGCATACTCACATTATACTTAACATCATATTAAAATAAAATACCTATGTAGGACCACACAGCATTTTTAAATTAAAATTAGTATTTGGAATTATTTAAATTACAAAATTCGATACCTAATTATAATATACTTTATTTTTAAAATGTTGTAATAAAATCAAAGTAAGGATTGGCACGGTAAATTTTTTAATTTACACCTAAACTACTATTATTAACTACTTGAATTATTATGTCGATAGATTCGGTACACAATCTTTATTCATCTTATATCAGTGACAGTTTGATTCAATGAGATCCTTAAAATCGACAAACTATAAAATCTGAAAACAGCTGCGTGATAAAAAAAAACACCTTTAACCGACAATGGATATAATCAGATACAGTCTAGAGGTGTTCCCTAATAGCGGCCTATGATTGGAGCAGGGAACAGCTGGCGAGCACATTGCCATCGACTCGTGCGCATAGGATTGTGGATTGTGGACATATGAAGCACAAATTGGTAAAAAAAAACTACTTCCGATAGCGCGTTGGCGGGAATTATTGAAACATTCATATTCTTTTTTTGAAACTAATTAGACCGTTCCGTTTTACGTACACAGGCATACTCTGATGTATGAAATATACATACATCCTTTTAAAGTATACTTAGTAATTAACATTTACTTGATGTTTAGAAGTGAAAAAGGAAAATTTACTAGCGAAACTTCCTTAGGTTCAATTTTCAAAACAGTCCATACAATGGTAAACGTTCGCGTAGAGGCTTTTAGGGAAATTCTTCATTCAAATTAATACCCCAGCGAAAAAATTAAGCTTCGGTGCGATTCTTCAGGCTTTGCCGAACAGTGTAAAGGTGAGCCTCACCCCAAGTTAACGGTGGTTGTTATAAAACTAATTTGCTAAGTTACTTTGCAGCCCTTAACTTATAATCGTAAATTAAGTCGAGTAAGGCTCACACTTCGGGCTCGTTGAAAACTTTAAAACGACAAATCAGCTTATAGATATGTTTAGTTCGAAATCACTTATCAGACTTTTAAATCAGAAGCTACAATTTCTCTGTAATTTGGGCGAGTAGTGCGAAATATATTTGTCGAAAATTTGTAGTTATGTTGTGAATGTGAACACGTCTATAATATTGACGGTGTTAAGTTTACTTATTAAAAACAAAAACTCGTTTAGAATTCATAGCTTTTTTTCGTGGACGAGGTGAAATACCATGTAAATCTCAACAACACGTTGACTCTATTTTTAACTAAAATCATTTTGAAATCCACAAATAAAACCAAAAAGCGTTTTATAACTACTGGAATAAACCTATGGGGAGGCCTATTTTCAGCACTGGACGCATTTTGAACGGATAAATCTATCTAAGATATCGTGTTTTAAACCGTTGAAGCGTTTTATTTAAATGTGTACTACTCGCGTAAACTATAGACAGTATTTAAGTTATATTCCTGCCACCGATCCAGACATCCAGACGAAGGACAACATCAACAACAAATTAAAAACATCCTGGACCTGGTGGGGATCGAATCGTTGACTATTAGCCACACACTCCTACCATTCTCCCAACGAGTCCGAAAAAGTGATTAAGTATTATACAAAAGCAGGAAACCATAAGAATAACATCCAACATTTTAGAAAGTTTATATAGGACCAAAAAATGGTGTGTAGTCAACCTATATATTAGCATTTAGCATAAAAAGCACCCTATCCGTAAGAATTAAAAAGGAAAAGTACCTACGATTTTAAAACTCCCATATTTTACGGGCTATTTACTTCGCAGTATTTAACTGCTTTTTCATGTTAATGAGTTTTTGTTTTTAATTTGCGTCACTGATATTTCTATAGTGAGTACAATTGCGCTTTTTATATTTGGTTTTATTGCTATTATAAAACTTGCACCTTGTAAGACCTTAACTAACTCCGTGTCAACTATTAGTCGTACATTTTGCGTCGCTTTAGTTAAGACAGCGAAGAACCTTATAATCGCTACAATATCTAGTATATAGTACTTACGTATTGTAACGTAGTTGTTTGAATAAAACAGTTTTAACAGTTTAAAACGTGAAAGATATTAGTGTTCTTTTTATATACTGTAATTTATGCCGTGTACCAAGTCTGCTGCAACATCAGAAACGTTAGATCGTAGTTTATTAAATTAAGAATAAGTTGACTATATTTCGCATTTTAAACCCGTTAAAAGTTTACTTAAATGTGTACTAAACCGTAAGCCACTACAACACTATATTCCTTATATTACCTATCTCTTTTCAACACTTGTGTACTTCTACTTCCTTCGATTAGTTATATACCAATTACCTATAATCGCATTAATACTGGAAGCTTTTTATAAATTGAATTAATCTGGATATGTCGGTAGTTTGAAATTCGACCGAACCCAATTCGTATTCAATTGACATGACTTATTACGTTCAATTGTTTCTTCGGCTTGTCAGGATACTCGCGTCATACAAATTTTCCATTTCGCGCCAAGTGTATACGCGACACTACTTATTTTCATTTGGACGGTGACACACGACTTCCGCGGCCATTTTACAATGCCGCTAAAGCGTCGACAAGATGGCGGTAATCTATGCAGACGAATAAATTAATGCAAATAACGCCTCGTAAATAAGTCATACGTTTGCGTCAACCGGGAATCGATTCGGTGTGTCGAGCGATTTTTCAAATTCACGTGAAACGTAGTGTTTCCAGCGTGAATGCAAATTGATAAGGTTCGAATTTCTGTCAATGGATCAGAGATTCAAGGTCCTGCATTTGAATTTCCAGTTTGAGCACGCGATTGTCATGTGACGTCATTTGTACGACTGTTATGTTCAGAGTCATATCAGTAGACTATTGATAAAGGGGAAGACTGACGAAATCGTACTTAAAAATATTTGGTTTTTAGTCCTTTATTCATATGTTATGAATAGGCACTATATAAATTAAAAATCGATTATAAATTACAAAAACATTACGACTCGGGTAGGGCTTAAACGAATTATGAAAAACTATATATGTCTCTAGACTATAGTAATTGTTTTATTTTACTTGTTATGTGGCTTAATCATCTGGTCGTCTCTATCAAATCAAAAACTCTTGTAATTAACATATAAAGTTTCGATGTGAAATATATGTATATGTTTTTCTCTAATTCTCTTCTTCTGTGTGTACTATAGTTTGCCTGGAAGAGATCGCTGCTTAGCAATAAGACCGCCGTTTAATTATTCACTCATAAGTAAGTATTTTTTTTCTATTTTATATTTTCTTCTTGTTTTGTGGTGTGTTATAAATAAAAATCTTTGATAAATATTTGATGTCTTAATTAAAAATGAAAGGATCCTACCTTCTTCTCTGTTAGTTTCTCACACCGCCTCTGCTTGCAGATCTGGTGCGATTTGTCGTTGCGACACGGCGCGCAGTCGCCACAGTTGTCTTTCCTCTGGCAACCGATGCATTCGCCGCATCGTTTTCTTTTCTTCTTTGTCTGTGACGGGAAGCACTAGAATTGAGTTAATTTGTTTGTAACCAAACGTATGTTTACATTATCTTGAAATTAAAAAACATTTTTTTTATTGAGATTGTGTGACGTTCTGATTATATCTATATACAGATCGTAGTCATATAAATAATAGTAATTTCTTTAATCTGATCATAGTAGAGTCGTCTTTTATTTACAAACGTTATTTTTGTAAGAAAACGATAAACTATGCACGATATTATATATATTTTTTTTAATTTAAGCACGCGTATTAGTCAAAATAAATGTGTAATTATTTCGTATAATAAACGAGTGCGTATGCGCCGGAATGCTACTATCGTATCTAATACCATATTAATTCATTGCAGCTGATAGAAAATTCAGCTGTGTCATTTTGCATTTTTTCTAGGTGACACAGTCACCTATTTATAATATGCATTTTTGACAGATGCACAATTGACAGTTCTGATATTAATAAATTATATCGTTTGTTTAATTACATAGATTTTAAATTTTTACCGATTATAGACTATAAAGAATATTTTTATTTTAAGATTAGAAAAGGCGAAATATATTAGTTCAAAAAGCGTTTTATTTAAAGGCGTATTTAATTAAGTTACAAGATGCTATTATTTTCACCCTACGAAAAGACTTGAAACATTATTTTTCACAGGTTGTTTATTGATTAAAGCAACACACGGAACGCTGCGGTCGTGGGTTCGAGCCCTTGTCATATTTTTTTTAATATATCACAGATTCGTAATTTCCTTTCAGAATTCTTCTGGACATTTTTTCAGATAAACTACAAATAGTTTTACTAATTTTACTATTTAAGCATGTTATGTTATATATCTTACCTTTAATTGTTTATTACATTTTATTTGTATAACACAAACGCTGTGTGATTAATGTAATAAATGTTGGTGAACTTATAAATAAATAAAAAATATTTTTAAAATGGTCAAAAATACCTTTTAGAAAATAAATTTGGTATCCACTGTTAGACCTTTGATGGTTATAATATCTTTTATTAAAAATCAACATAAGAATGTCGAATTTATTATTTATTCATGGTTACAGGAGCATCCAAAGATACTACTTTTGTATTTAACATATAATGGAAACATAGGAATTGTTTACATAGCTATATTTTGAATGCATTAACAATTCTTTTTAAACATTAGTACGTAAAGATATTAAAAATAAACGTAAACTTTAGAATTGGAATAAATAGTATTATCTATGGGCGATTTAATTTTTATTGGAGACGAGAGGTCGTATACCTTCCCGCTCTCAGCGAATATCATAAAATCGTTAAATGATACATTAATTTGACTCGTCGGGTCGTAATTGAAAGGTAACAAGACCAAATTAAAGCATAAATACGCCAGCTGGGTTGCGATACGGATAATAATGTGCAATTTTATTCATGTCTGTTACAGTTCCTTATCAAGATCGTGGCGATACAGCTGTTATTTTAGCCAACTGTGAAGTTTCTGATAACGTCAAAGTTTTTCAATACTTTAAAGTTTTACTCCACATTGCAGGGAGAATTGTGGTTTTCTATAGAGGCGTTAAGATTTATTTATGCCATTAATTAATATACGAAATATTTCTCCGTCTGTTCTACTAAGCAATTTCTCAATTCTGCTCAGTAAAAATGTTTCTTACAGTTTTGAACCCGAGACCTCTCACGCTGAACGCAATGACAGAAACATTACTAATTTAACTTCAGCAAAGGTAATGATGATTTATTTAAATAACGTAATTTAATTGTACTTATTATTAGTATATGAAAACGAAAGGCTAATCGAAGGTTTTCTTTAAAATATTTTTTAATTATTTTTCACAACGTTAGAACCACTAAATGAACTAAGAGGTATTGTTAACCATAGTTGAGACGTTTTAGTTGAAAAATATATACATCGGTTACATTCTTGAATTGCCGTTTATACTAAATAATTTCCTGTCTATCATAAAATATATTTCTAAAGACATTATTTTCGATTCTAATGACAATAGCAGATGTTATAGAGGATAATCTATTTAATTACTATCACTATGCGCTGGAGTTTAGACAGATGCCACTTTTTGTGTTCAACTATACGTGGTAATGTCACGTGAAGGAATCGAATAAATTAACATTGGGAAAACATATCAAAAAATAACATAGAAATACATTTTTTTAACAACATTCTAAATTCAAAAAGACTTGTATTATCATTTATTATATTCTCTTGAAGAATCTATTTTGTTATTCACATGAATCTAAAAACTAAGTACCAACTTATTATCTTTACTTCTTACGACTGAGGATAGCTATGTATTGAACTTTTTGTGAAACAGATTACTTTTCTCGACTTCTCTATTCGTTGCTAGTTTAAGATTAGGCAATAAATCTGTAAAAATAATTTCGTAGCCTTCCGCTTTCCTTGTTTCGCTTTTGTTTCTAGGAAACTTTCGGAATGGATTTCCCCTGTTTGAGTCATTCGTATAATGAGTTAGTAACTTGGTCTGGGAAATTTCTCACACAAATATGCGCTCTATTCGATAATAGACAAGAATTAGTTTGTCCTGAATCTCGATCGAATTAAAGTAGCAAATAGACTCGATGTACGTATATTTTAGTATTATATTAACTTCGTTAATTTAATTCTTTTGTTAGTTAGTTATGTACAAATTATGTAGATTGTCTCTTGTTTCAGTCCAGACAATATATACATACATAATCTATACTAGTATATTTGTATAACTACATATTCGTAAAATAAGACATTATTATATCGTCATAGTATGCTATCTTTATCGTACTTTTACTCGTAGTATTGTGTAACAGATGAAGAACGTCTAAACAATTTCAAAACATCTGTAAATTGTGACGTTTATAAAAAGCTAAACACACTTAGCAGTGTTCTTCATAGAAAAATGAGCTTCTAAACACCACAAAGGTTCAATAACTAATAATAAATAATTAGTATTATTGCGAGCAGCTGCGCCACTAAAGGTGTTCGTTATTAGACTAGGAAACGCTGACATTTGTTCACCGAGGAATGTTACTAGTCTGGACCTTTTCTACTAGTTAGATAAGTTTTTATCTCGTTGGATTCCAGGCGGAGTTTCTTGAAAATCTAAGCTAAAAATACAAGGGAATTCGAATATGAAAGAAACGCTGAAGGCAATTTCAACTCGCTCCCGTGAGCACAAAAAAGCTGGACGGGCAAAACTAAAATTAAACGTTAGAACTTAGTGCGCGAAAGACCGTAATTGCACCCAGCGTTGAATTTTGAAAACTCATAAAATTCCCTAAGCAGGACACGCGTAAATCGCCAGACTTTAATTTGCGTCTTAAACGAGAGGAAGTTAATTTATTGAAGGAGCAAGCGATCCAGCTAACTATTAAATTTATAGCCGCGAAGACAGAGACTTCGGCCATTCCGCAACTCGGGACCGGGTATAAAAAGCTCCCCGAATAATAAAAGGTGGAATTATTTGCGAAGTTTCTCTTTTTCGGAATATCTACTTCCAATGGTGGCATGTTGCCGGTTGAAATTCAGGGAATTCTCATATCTCCCGACGGTTATTCAGCTTTGCGCGATCCCTGGCGTCTTGTTTACGCTATTCGACGTTTCTCGGCGAGATTAGTTGTCGTTTTTGATTTTATTGTCTGCGCGTTTGAACTTGCTCTATATCGTGCATAGTTTATTTTCGGATGACTCAACGGTATACTCTGTAAGTGATTGTAAGCGTTCGAGATCAAAGAGCATCGCCGTGATATACAATCTGACAAATTTAGTTCTACTTTCGCGTTTTAACTCTGTATATTAAATTGTTTTTAAAATAGAGGTGGACAGCCAAGTGTTAACTTGATAGTAGGTGATAACACTCCGGCCATATAACATTTAAACAAGATGCGCTGTTGTCCTATTTTGGCTTTGGTACTGTATACTGTATAACTGTAGGGATTTTTCGATTTTCATCAGTGGACGGTGGATCGTGACCAAAACGGAATTTCAACATTCCTATAACCATCCATTTAATATCCCGATGTCCATACGAAGTCCGGCATGTTTCAGAAACATTATAAACTGATTAGAGACATGTTGGAAACGTGGGGGTCGAACCCACGACCCATTAGCCATACATTACACCAACGACCTCGTTAAATTTGTCTATAACACAAGAAACTCACCTGTTTTTCGCTGGAGATGTCGTCGAGTTCCATGGGTCCCGACGCCATTGGCGGAGCCCCATGCATGGGTGATTTGAAGCCGGCCGTCGAAGAAACCGCGGCCACCTGCCCACTACTCTCCGACCCCACTTCCATGTTCGACCCGTCCGATTCTGAACTATTCGCTCTCATTTTCCGTCTCTCCTTCTTCCTGAAGTCTGACCGCGTCGGGGAAGACGCACTAATGAACCCGTTACTCTTCTTTTCGTAACCGTTGTCTATAAGCATCGGATTCTGGAAATTACTATGGTGTAACCCGTTCGGTGTGTATTTGTCCTGCAAAGCCTTTACATCGAACGGCTCATTTTTCAACACGTGCACGACGGTTGGACTTTGGATATTGTGGATTATACTCCCATTTTGTTGAAGAAGAGTTCCATTCTGATGGAGTATACCGTTCTGGGTGGGGAATGCGTTTATCGTCGCTATGTTCGGTTGGTATAGCTGTATATGCCTATCATCGATGTAAGTCTGAGCGGCTGGCGCTAGTTCTCTGGCTTGGATAGGAGCTGGTACAATTGGGTAACTTCGGGCGTTTACCGCTGTGAGAGTATGGAATGTTGTAGCGTTTACGGGCGATAATGTCGTCAAGGTGGTGGAGAGCGGCGTGACTTGCGCCAGCGTGGTGAGGTGGGCTGGCGACGACGGCGTAAGTTGCGTGAGCTGGGTTAACTGACTAGGACTCGCGCTTGGAGTGGGGCTCGAAGTCACCGGGACGGGGGTGACACTGGGCAGACCCGTCTCAGGTATGACCGTCGTCTCCGGAAACGTTTGAAACTGGCTCTGGAAGGACGGTAGCTTGTTTGGTATCGGTTGCAGCGTGACCGACTGGTATTCGAGTGGCGCCGAGAACCCGGCGCGTAGTATCGCGTCCTTCGAGTTGACCGTGATCGGCATGGACTCCCAGGGGCGGTACTGGGGCTGGCTAGCGATGACCGAAACAGTGTCTCCAGTCCTCTCGTAGTACTCCCAGGCGGGGTCGAGGAGCCGCGTGTCGGCCGTGAGGATCCGCTGCTCGTTCTCCGCCATCTCGCCGAAGGTGGAAAAGGGCGGAAGGTGCGCGCTATCCGCACCCGCCTCGCTCCTGAGCGCTTCGCTCATGACGTGTTGCTGCGCGGCTTCATCGCGTCCTCGTCTATTCTTTACAAAAATAAGCTCTACTAAGTCTATTACTGAACACGGAACTGCACTGGAACTTGGTGATTTGTACTCTTCGGTCTGTCTTCGTTACGTCCGCGGTTAAACTAGCACTAGGTTTCGGTTATACGGCACACCGGTTGAACTACCACTAATCACAATATTCTCTCTCACTATCCAATAAATAATGTAAAAATCCTTAACGAGAGGCAGCTAATGTCTTAACACTAGGGGCTTATAAAATCTTTGGCTGATTTAGAAAACGCTCGAGGAGTTACTTCGATACAATTTTTTAACTATCGATAAAATATTTTGTGCACTCGTTTAACGATATTTTGGAACGTTTAAATACTGGTCGTTGATAATTTCTCTTAAAAAATTCAAGGCTTTTTTTATTGTAAATACCGATTACTTCAGACTTAAATTAATTTGTACTGTTTGGGAGTTAGCGTATACTATGCGCGTTATTTTTAAAAGGTTAAAAAATAGTGCTTATATTAATTTTCGAAACGAAAGATATGACTGGAGGCTTTGGTTTGTCGATTTCGTGGTTGTTTTCGTGGTTTATTTGGTTTAGTTGTCGGTTTCGGCTGAAGTCGGCGCCGACGGCAAGCTAGTGTTATCCGTGCGGCTTGCACCAATCTGTAACAATGCAAATAACATATAGTATATGCAAACTTACATTAACCAAAAATAAGTCATCCAAACCGGAAAAAAAATATTGGACAGACCACAAGACACTGATCGACTGCAAGTCGTCAGATACATAAAATTGATCAGTGAAGCAGAAACAGAAGTGTGTTCGCCCAATGCCCCAGGGGGAAATAGAATTTCAGCTTTATATACAAAATAATTTTTAAGCTCTAAGCTTTAAGTTAAGCATTAAAACTAAAAGCATTTATAATGGCATTTCAAAAAAAGAAAAAGGCACATTATAAATAAAATCAAACGTCTCACAGAATATATTTATATGTCTATAAGTCACAGGTATTTAAATTGTAGTAATTAGTTTTAAAATTTTCGAGAGATATATTTTCTTATACCAGTATGTTAGATACGCTTTTATAATAACGCAGATAGATTTTTACATTCCACAGACCACGCTGCGCGGTGTGGTAGCATTTACCCTATGACGTCATCCGCGTCTCTGCAACCCCGCGACTCAACCCCGCTCATATAGTCTATTATAATATAGATTTATAGACTAGAATGCTTCTATACATAGACTATTAAAAATATAGTTTAATCTGCAACATTTTGTAAAATAATATATACTTTGGATAAATTAAAAATTGGTCAAATCATTAATGAAAAGAAAATAAGATAATTATATGAAAATACAGAGTAAATGAAACGACGTTAAAAGATTGTTTAACATATTAACATAGACACAAGATACGCTATCAATCTATTTTGGCTTTGGATATTTGAAAATCAACAGATTGAAACAGAAATACGATAAGCGATAAGACTAGGCGAATTTCTATCGTCTGTGGACGGTGTTACTATTCTAGAAATCGTTTCAGAAAAATTATGGAGTGAGTTTATGAGTACCCATTGAGGACCGAACCCACGTCCCGTTGTATCATCAATATATAGCTACCATATGAACGAGCATATGACCATTATATTTTTAAATATAAGTATATTAAACATTTAATTAACATCTAGAAGGATCGTCTGAAGCTTACGCAAGTAGTACTTTAAATAATAGTCTTTAACGGTGATACCAGCACTGGGGTTGCTGCAAATGATACGAAACGCCGGGTTCGTAGTTAAAATAAATTAATTGTAACTATATATATTTCACGTTTTAAACCGTTAAAAACTTCTATTGCGATAACTCAACTATATGAGAGTCTTTAAGGATTGTATAATACTATGTAGTAAAAACATAACTACATCCAAAGCTAGCACATGTATACGTTTGTAAACAAACTATTAATAGAAGGGTACGCACGCTCTATTTCGGCTACACTATTTTAGGTAGAACTATTTCGGTGTGTTTCGTTTTAAAACTGTCTTTTCCGATTTTATTTTTATCGACATTTATAAATACAACACTAAAGAACTATACTTCACTAATGTCCGTCTAATTTTTAATATTGGCAATACCAATTGTCTATGGCACTTGAATGGCGCCATTGATGTCAAAACGCATTCTATTTGTTATCTGTGCCACCCTATTTTATATAGTCTTAAATCCCTTTAATTTGGCGAGATCTCTATCTTGTCTTCTAAGCTTAAGATCAAAAGGAATCTTTTGTTTAGCTCACAAAGAGGGTCTAAATTGCAACATGCTATTTCGACTTTCGCGTCCCCAAGAGGTGGGTTTTTGTTTTATAGGTAAGATGTTTTCATACCTTTATAACGGTGGAGGGAACTGGGGGATTTTTAATTTTCAAGTGGTTCGCATTTTAAGCTGCTTATGAGGGGGTAATCCCTTATTAGGAAGATGGCTAATAATTAATTTGAAATTAATTATTTTTTTAAGCTAACCTTCTTTTGTAACTTACATAGCACAGGAGAACGACACTTGTCTGTCTGTTTTATTCCTCGAGTATAACTGTGGCCCGCCGAAACTATGTTATATATTTACACGGGGATCGAACCTGGGACAGCTCATGCTTTACCAAGAGCCAGATAAAGCGTTTATTGGCATTGATAGGTGCTAAGTAGAATTACAAAGAGAATAATTTGTTCGTGTAAATCAATGAATTCCCGCAATACTGACTTCTATATAGCAACCAACAATTTGATAGCCGAGTTGCCACAATCAAAAATGCGTCAAAAACGTCCCCCGTAATTGCGTCATCAAGTCACAAACGATCACCGAACGGCGACTAGCAATCACAAGGCGAAACTCTTTGTAGATATGCACAAAGAACACCCGACGAAAAAAAAGATTAAAAAGCTCACAACGGAACGCGACTCGAACGGTCGCATGTGTGCGCAAGGATTCGTCTGCGCCCGCGAGTGTGTGTGGCGCGCGCGTGTGTGCGAACCGCGATAGTATCTGGGTTTTAGTTGTCAAGGGCAACCGTACAACCGCTGCAGCGAATGCAACGCGCTTTCAGCTTTGCGCTGCAATTATACGGTGTATTTTTAGTGTCGGATGCTGTCGCTTTTTTGTTCGGCGCGGTGCGGCGAACGCTTGTTTAGATGACGCTCGGAAATCCTTGAATCTTGGAAGCTCGCGGTATGCACGCAATTCACGGGCCGTCTCGGATGTTGTTTGATGAGTGCTGGCTCATTTCTTCGTATCCACCGACTTGGAGAGGTGGGTTATGTTGTTGCGCGTTGTTTTGACACTCCCAAAATTTAGAAAGAGTATTGAGTACAAAAGAACGTATGTAAGGAAAGCTAAGCAACTGTGTAAAATCGAATTGAAAATGAAAAAAAACTCACGGATTCAACATTCCGTGCTGCTGCACTAACCAGTTAAATTTTGGTGTAAATTTTTTTCAATCTAAATTAAATTTTATAATTTATATAATCATAATGCTGTTATGTAAAATAAAAGCTTTCAAGTAACCCTTTCATTAAATAATAATTTTGAAAAATGAACCTTAAGCCAAAGTAGGTCGATAGAGCATCTTATTTGGATGCTATTAGTATAAGTGAAGGAATTTCGGACATACTATCAGGTTCGTCTGTCATAAAAAATAGACACAAACGAAACTCATTCGATAAGTGTACAAATTGTAATACCTTTAAATTGTAATGTAAGGTAGACTAGATTCACGCTTTTTTATGGTAATCAAATTTGACCTTTATACTTATGGCAAATAAACGATTGCCAGGTCAGCTAGTATACTCATATACGTAGAGTTTAAAAGCTTCTACCGAAAAGTGACACTAGATAATTCACACAAACCAGCTGTGTTATAAAGTTATAAGTAACATCCGGCGCGAATAATACCTGAACCGGAAACCGATATCGGCCTGATCATTGCTGATAAAGGCGTGATAACATCATTGAATCGATCATATTTTATTTCTTAACTGGGCCAGAGTATTTTTTCAATAATACATATAATTTATACGTTATTAATTGAAGGATTATAATCATAATCAAGCTATATTTTTATTATATATACGCAGTTATTTTTAACTAACATATGAGACCGTTAGAGGCAAAGTAGCCTAACTGCAATTTTATGATTCGACTTATTAATATGTTTACAGTCAAATATTCAACTACACAGTACAGTGATCAGAAATTGTCTACATAAATATCGTTGAAAATCATGTTCTTTGTTATTAGGCCACTCTTTTTTGAGGTTGCCTCTAGCAACCTCATAGCAGCCTCGGAAATGAATTATATCTGTGGTATACGCGAGTATTTTTAACTAAGTAGCAAGCAATTAACCTATATTACATATACATATTTCGTATTTTGAATCGTTACGATTTATATTTAACATTATTTTTAAACTATCTTTTTGTTATGAATGTTAATAGAATCCATGATTCAAATTTAGAAATATATTTTAAGCGTTCAATTGTTGTCTATGGAAGTGAAGTAACTATGTTTTCGTAATCAAGTAGGTTTATAGGTTTTTGGTGAAATCAAGTAGTCTTAAGTTTCAAGAATGGTGTTTTCTCGGAAATTATATCAAATTAATTAAGTATTTGCCCAGCTAAGCAATTTAAAAGTTAAAGATGTATTGTTTGCCTATACTAGTATTATTTGTGCCACGATATGTTTGTTAGACAGACATACCTATGTCACAAAAAAGGAGATTATATACGGAACTCGACTCTACAGACGTCCCGTACCGTTTTTTCACCACCAGTATTACCATGTCACCAGCAGCTGTCTATCAAACCATGTAAGCTGAGGTTATTTTTACGTTATAACTTTGAGTACACGTTATTGAGGTTAGTCTTTAGTCTTAACTCCATTGGGAATCTCTTAGTAAATAAGAAAGGCGTTTAAACTTTGACAAAGAGCTGGCAAC